TATGTTTTGTGCTTCCGCATGGAGGTGCGGGAGGCTGTATGTCTTGCGCTGTGGCCACTTAGTTCTGTACGAGGTTTCTAAGGACCCTTTTTTTCTCTCTAAACGGTACACAGAAAAACTGGTAAGGTCTAACATGGCCATATATGCCCTGAAGGAGTCATTGAGGAGACGCTCCCTGCGTTTCTGCTTGGCTCCTAATCCAAAATTTGCCTCCTCTCGCGCATTGTTTAATGTCTGGGCTGTAAACTTGAGCGGCATTTGAAACGGCTCGGTTGTTTGAAGAGAGGAATGCGCAAGCGCAAAAATAGATGCAATGGGTGCTGGATAAAATGCAGGTCGCTGGGCGACGTTTTGTTTCATGTTATCTCCCTCTGCAGAGACCAAGTCTAACGGTTCAAAGACGCATATCATTTCTCCTTGCTCTGCAAACACTGAGGAGACTGCAGATCCCCCTACATACCCCTGGTAGCTGCGGTTAAAAAGTCTCGAGGGGGTTGCCTTCTCTTGAATGGCTAGAGAATGATGAAAGAGGTGAGCAGAAGTAAAGCCGTAGCAAGGAGAGCAGATTGCGTGTAGGCCGAAGCGGAGTTTTCTATGGCTTCCTTTATGTTTGCCCAAACTTCTTCGCTGTGTAAAAGCCCAAAATATACAAAAGAGCGAGAAAAAAACACATAACAGCAAAGTTACCCTACACTACAGCGGGAAAAGGAGGCAAATACAAAATTAGTAGCGCTATGGAATCAATAGGAACGAGTAGGCACACGGGAAGAAAAAAGGCAGCGAGACAAAACCGTATGGAAGGGGGGATTTTCGTGCACGGCTACAGGAGGACGAAAGATCAATACTAAAATTGCATATACCGAATACTGACCCACACGACGAGGGGAAACAGCACGAAGTTGACGGCTCTACGCAGCACTTTGAGGTGACCGCTAGAACCAACAACACGATCATCGCAACACAACACATCGGATCACAACACCTAACTAATAAGTGGAAAACCCCACGTGGAAACACCTTCAAGACAGTTCGGATGAGCCTGACTCAGGAAACGTAACTAGGATTACCAGATGAGACATTTCGAGAGGACGTGCAACGAGCAAGGCAAACACAACTGGAA